TCCTGAGTTTCTATTTCTTTTCAGTTTTCTCACAGAAGTTTTACTGCATATGCATATTTTATATATATGTATTTTAACTTCATATGATGTATTTTTATGTGATTAAAAAATTGTAAGTTATCCTATCATACTTTAATAAAAAGAAACATTCACTGAACTTTAACATTAAATAAGGTTCTTGTCACTAAAAGGTTCTAAGTATTTTTTTACTGGATTGAGTTTTCTTTATACTTATCAATAAATATTTAACCCCAAACTATATTAAAGATATAATTATTAAATCTATTGTGTAGAATTATATTGGAGATGTATCTTAAAACAGATGGCACTGATGTTTTCTTTATTTTTTCAGTTTATATATCCATGAATAAATGTTATTTATTGCTAGAATAAAACTTTCAGTAGCAATTTTATTTTTATACTTTTTTTTATTAATAGGTATAAGTGCTGAGAAATCTTTGTCATATAATAGATTGATATGGGAAAAGTTTTGCTATAGCATTATCATTTAATTCTTTCCTTTTGAGTTAAATGTCCCAAATCACATTGTAATCTAACATTTAAAAGTTAAAAATACTTGGCATGCTACTCAGAGAGGGACCCATATGGCATTCTCAGTTCCCACGTAACTTAAAGGGAAACTTTCACAATGTCCGGAGCCCTTGATGTGTCCTGCAAATGAAGGAGGAGGATGCCCTCAAATTCCTTGCAGCAGGAATCCACTTAGATGGCACCAAGCTTGACTTCCAAATGGAACAGTACATCTACAAATGGAAAAGTAATGGCATCTACATCATAAATCTGAAGAGAACCTGGGAGAAGCTTCTGCTGGCAGCTCATGCCATTGTTGCCATTGAAAACCCAGCTGATGTCAGTGTCAAATTGTCCAGGAATACCAGCCAACAAGCTGTGCTGAGGTTTGCTGCTGCCACTGGAGCCCTTCTAATTGCTGGCTGCTTCACTCCTGTGACCTTCCCTAACCAGATCCAGGCAACGTTTTGGGAGCTGAGACTTCTGGTGGTTACCGATCCCAGGGCTGACTACCAGCCTCTCACAGAGGCGTCATATGTTAACTTGCCCACCATCGTTCTGTGTAACAGAACGTTCTTCTCTGAGCTATGTGGACACTGCCTTCACTTGCAACAACAAGGGAGCTCACTCAGTGGGTGTGATGTGGGGGATGCTGGCCTGGAAAGTTCTATGCATGCATGGCACCATCTCCCGCGAGCACCTGCGGGGAGTCATGCCTGACCTCTACTTCTACAGAGACGCTGAAGAGATTGAAAAGGAAGAGCAGGCTGCTGCTGAGAAGGCTGTGGCCAAGGAGGAATTTCAGGGTGAATTGTCTGCTCCAGCTGCCTCGTTTGCTGCTGCTCAGCCTGAGGTCACAGACGGGTCTGAAGGCGTGCAGGTGCCCTCTGTGCCTATTCAGCAGTTTCCTACTGAAGGTGGGAGTGCTGAGCTGCCACTGAGGACTGGTCTGCAGCCCCTACTGCTCAGGCCACTGAATGGGTAGGACCAACCACTGAATGGTCCTAAGCTGTTCTTCCACAAATTCAAACCAAATGGAAATAAGGTTGACGGAAAATAAACTGTTTCTAAAAGTTAAAAAAAAGAAATAAAAAAAAGTTAAAAATAATTTGTAATGTAGTCATTCATCACTGGCTTTCTGAATTTGGGCGGAATATACCAAAAAGGCTTTATCAAGACTTAACAAGTGGTGGGCCGGCAGAGTGGCTCTGTTGGTTAAGAGCTCGCTCAAGAGATTGAGCTCTGAGTAACAGCAGTTCGACGCCCGGTCCAAGCTGAGCTGTCACTGAGCTGCCAACAGGTGGCAGGATGGCTCATCTAAAAAACAAACAACAACAACAAAAAGGCTGAACAAGTGGCTAGTAATTATACTTGTTACTTTTAGATTCTTTTTTTAACCAATACTCAAATTCAAAAAATTGAAATCTTGTTAATTTCAGGATGCCTTTGCCAATACAATATTTGTTTGTAAAATATTTTTTGGTTTATATATTTTCTTTACAAGTTAGAACTGCATATTTAGTTCATTTAGTCTTTGGAAAATACATACATAGAACTTACTTAAGATGGCCAGTTCACATAGACCCACCAGTCAGTTAAATCAGATGTAATATTTATTTATAAAAGCCTGCTTTTATTTTTCATTTCAAATATACATGTTAATTTGTATCTTCATGACAGTCATTTCACTTCAGAATTCTAAGGCAGAAAACTATGGCCTTGGTTTGACTTGAATTTGTTACCTGGTTGTAATACGGCACAGCAGATTTCAGTCTCTTTTTAAAATTTATGCTTTCTTTGAGTTGTTCTCACTTGATTTTTTTTCTTGGAGCAATGCTTTTTTTTGTTTTTTTTTGAAAATAATTAGAGTAGAAGATACAAAGTTCATAAGTGCAAATTTTCATCACTTTTGTTTTTTCATTTTGCACCATAGCTGAATTAAGAAAACCCTACTGTGGTCCATAATACTCAGTTTTCTAACCCATGGTTGACTTTTAACAGAAATATATATAAAACAGGGAAAGATATGAAGCCCTACTACTATTTCATGTGCCAAAAGAGATTCTAGATACTAATATTTCAAATTGTTCCTTTCAGGAGGTTTTTAATACAGTAGGTGAGAATTATGTCTTTGTTTTGTTTTGTAAAGTAGAAAAAGGTCTATTGTGAAATGGGAGATGGGGAAGGAGATAGTGTATGAGTCCTGTTTTTATAGATAGGCTTTAAAGTAAATCATTTTTTTAAGAAAGTGTAGAAATGGAGATTGAGGATATATGAGTTGATTTTTTTAAACTGTCCATGCCTATTTATCCTTTTAGAAAACCCATGTGTATCCTAGGGGTTTATATATCCTGGATTTTTCATAGCTTATGGGTAATATGGATTACTGAATTAAACTAATATCACACTTGTTCTCCATTTGAAAATGAGCTTGGAATTAGGAAAAAGACTTTATTTTGGTTCAAAGTGTCTTAATAATCTTGCTCTTCTCTTTCACAGAATAACCTGTTTGCGTTTGGGCTTCTGCACTTTTATTGTGCCTCTTTTAGAGTGCATGTGTTTCATTAGTTCTGAAAAAATTCAAGCTATTTGTGAATATTGTCTTTGCATATTCTTTCTGGGACTCTTATTAGATATAAGACAATCATTTTTTAAAATATTTTTAAACATTTTATATGTATGTGTGTATATATGTGTGTGTGTATATATATACATATATATATATACATATATATATATATATATATATAGAGAGAGAGAGAGAGAGAGAGAG